AAGCCATTAGGTGGCACAGTTAAACACCTATTTGGTTTAGTTTGGTTTGTTTTATGGCATATCAACCTCAATAGGTTATTTAAAGCCAACAAAATTTTCATTCTTGGTAATATTTTTTTCCAAAAATCTATTTCTAGTAACATTTTTTCCTTCAAAAAATCTATTTCTGATAATGTTTTTCCTTCACTGGTAATATTTTTTTCAAAAAATGTATTACAGGTAATATTTGTTTTTTTACAAAAATGTATTACTGGTAATTTTTGTTTTTCAAAAATTTATTGCTGATGATAATTTTTTACAAAGTATTTCTGATATTAAAACCTATTTTTACACTTTCATAGTATTTTGACCCCAGTTTGGAGGTTAACTATTTGCCCATAGTTGGGATCCTAACAGGTGCTACCACCCCAGTTCAGAGTGAACCTAAAAACACCAGCAATTAAGAGGTGGTTCCATGCTCTTCAAATCCTCCTGATCAGAGGCCTTGCTGTTGGATGTAGTTTACCGTCTTACCCAGGATGAAGATGTAGTTTATTGTCATACTGAGGATGGTCAAACACCTGTAAAAACTGAACACTTCCTGTCTTCATCCTCTTCTCTCTCTTCTCTTCTAAGCATGCTGTATCGACAATGCTAACTGATACCTTCCTAGACATGGGGATATTTTTCCCATCGGTGACTGAATTTTATTCACACATAGACACACACACAATTCCTAACTTTCATTATCCTTTTTCTTTTGCATGCATACTAGTGTATTTTCACTCTTTTTACTCAATAGTCCTGGGTATGACAAGAAACTACATTCAATAGCAATGCATCTGATATGGTGATTGGGGGCTTGAGGTGTGAGGAACCATCTCTTAATTGTTGTTGTTCCCTGGTCCACTGGGGTAGTAACATTGGTTAGGATCCCAATAGTTAACCTTTGAACAAAAACAGAGCACTATGAAAGTATAAAAATATTAGCAATTGATTTTTATATATAAAAATTACCAATAATACATATAGTAAAATGACCAACACTATATTTTTTCTGTAGTTGAAGATATACAGTTACAATTAAAATATATTTAGTTGACGTCATAAAATTGTGTTCAAAATATTTAGATTTTGGTATTAAATAACCCATAGATGTGTTGATATGCCGATAAACAAAATCAACCAACCAACAATTCATTTTTTTAGTAAAATGACCAACAATACATTTTATCTGTAGTTGAAGTCATACAATTGCATTCAAAATATATTTAGTTGAAGTCATAAAATTGTGTTCAAAATATTTAGATTTTGGTATTAAATAACCCATAGATGTGTTGATATGTGTTATGATGTTGATTTGGGGTTAATAAAGACAAACGCCAAATAACACGTAACAATAAAAAGGGGTTTATTCGGTTGCTAAGTAGGTACAGAAATCACCTGAGTAGTCTATAACTAACTCAGCCAAGAACTTCTCCGACTCTGTCTGTCTTTTGACATGCCACTATTTAACGTCTTTGTTTGTAGACAAGTTCATCTTCAAGAGGGGTGGTAGGTTTCCTACACAACAATATGCCACTAAACTAAATCAACCAACCAACAATACCTATTTATAGTAAAATTATTAATAATACATATTTAAGCAAAATGACCAACAATATATTTTTTCTGTAGTTGAAGATATACAGTTACAATTAAAATATATTTAGTTGACGTCATAAAATTGTGTTCAAAATATTTAGATTTCAACATTAAATAACCTATAAAGGTTGATATGCCTCTAAACAAAATCAACCAAACTAAATTTTTACTCAGTTATATAAAAACAAAAATATAAAATATCACCTTGTTGAAATTCATTCCATTTTATTCTACCTGTCGTTTACGTGTGCAATATATTGTTGCTGCTGATTTCTGTAAAAACCAGGAACAATGTCCACAAGACAAGTAAAGATTAAAACATTATGAGTCAAAAATAATCAAGAATGTTATTTATTTCTCAGGATCTTTATCAATGCTTAGAAATGAATCATACGGGGGAGGGTATTACATTTTATAAAATATCAGATAAAGTTTAAAAGAAACACTTTCAACTTCCTTTTTGTCTTTCATTCACAACAAGATTGGAAACCATATAAAAGATATGGCGGTGGCAATTCATTTGTTAAACAATAAAGATGATTACAAATACTGCAAGAGAACACAAAATCTTCCTTTTGTGTCATATTTATCACACTAAACAATGACATCAACATCATATTTTATCTGCCATTTTTCTTTTGGACTGCTTGAATTAGTAGATGAAGCAGTAATGTTCCATAGCTGCAGTATAGTATATACAACTCATTTATAAGAAGGAAATAGGAGTAGAAATTTACATGAAAATTTATATCAACCTTAGTGGGCTGTGAAGCTCTCTGTGGTTGAGTGGTATAAAGAACACTGGATCATACAGAAGGGTTACCCCTACAAAAGTGGACACTGGTTTAAACCCTGCCAGAGTGCACATTTTCTTTATAAAAATTCTCAATTCCATAGGCCCGTAGATGTAATAAGAAATATGAAAAAGGTTTTACAAAATAGCCATTAATAATTAATTAATTAGCACACACACATTCAGATATATATTCTACATATATGTTAATGGCAATTTAATGGTGTTTTTATATAGATATAGACTTGACATCTATGAAAGTAACTCTATACTGATACTTATTATTAACACCCTACACACCCCTATTTTAAACAATTCGTCCTGGCTGTTACCATGGAAATTTTGATTACAATTATGAATATACTATTAAAACATGTAAATTTCAGAAATAAGTTATTCCAAAAAAAATTTCGCTTGAAGATGGAACAGAGCTTACTTTAATTCAATTTAATTCAAATAATTATATTGAAGTTTTCAGCTCTTATTTTGAAACATGAGACCTCATATGTCACGAATTGGAATCATATTTTTAAATAATAATATATATATATATATATATATATATATATATATATATATATATATATATATATGTCAATGTGCATTTAATGACATTTAATAGCCATTTAATAGTTTATATATATATATATATATATATATAACCATTAAATATATATATATATAAACCATATATATTGTATATATGTGTCAATGGGTATTTAATGACATTTTAATTTATATATATATATATATATATATATATATATATATATATATATATATATATATATTTAAAACGATTAAATGCCCATTAACATATATAAACTCAAAATCAAATGTGCAACAGTGTAACAGTTATCACTGCAGAAATTGAAATCAGCTAGCCAAGTTCAAATTCCAGCTGAGTCTGTTGCATTTACTTTGTCAAAAATGCTCTTGAGAAAGGCATGAATACATCACTTCTAGCTTGCTGTGGTTTAAATAGCAGTATAAACTGATCTCTCTAGCCCTGAGTGGCAACCAGTTGAAAAAGAAGGTAAGAAAAAAGTTAGATGTGCAAGTAATTTAGCAGTTATCAACATGGAAAGGGGAAGTAGCAATCCAAGTTCAAATTCCAGCCAAATCTATTGCATTCACTTTCATACAAATGCACTTGGGAAAGCCTTGACTCTGTATCTTCTCCTTATGTTTTGATGCTTATATTAGCTTGTCTTTTCTGGTTAATAATATCACAAGGAAAATACTGGAACAAAAGATTAGTGAAGAAAAACGTTTGATCACATGAGGGACATTGATTAATAATACAATAATAGTAACTACCATAGTTCAGTGCAACAATACACACGACTCAATGCTACACCTTGCGAATCCCTTTGTGACCACTGTTCTTTGAGCAGATGCCCTAATCATAGCAAATAGATGACTCTATGTTCAACAATTAGCATAGAGATGGTCGGTCATCTTTCTACACAACACTCCACCATCCACAGGAAAATAGTAGAGTAGGTAGGACTCTCTAGCTTTGGATGGTAAGAGAAGGAAAATTCTGAATTCCAAACTGTAGAAAAGGCAAAGAGAAATGACTCCATTATCTTTTTCAACAAGGTGAGGCAATTCAAGCATAATAAAGGAAAAGGAAGACCCATGAACACCCACATCCTGAATGGATATTGTATTCAGTAATTAGAAGAATAGAATTAATTCTTAAAATATTCACAAAGATAAATGAGTAATATAAGTAAGAATCCCCATGTGCATTTTTTTAAGTATGTTGTAGCAATTTGATGTAATCTGCACTCTGATGCACCTAACTTCTCTGATGTTCTGGTGTGATACTGATTGCAAGGCCTACTTTGCTATATCTTAGGGTGAGTTTAGTTCATATTTGGGTCAGCACAGATCAACTCTTTTTAGGACAAAAGTTTCTTATTGATGTTAAATACAATTCAAAACTCTCATATTTTATGGTTTGGTTTGTTTTGTCTTACAGCATATCAACACCTCAATGAGTCATTTCATGCCGACAACTTTCTTTTTTTTTTCCTGGTAAAATTTTTGTTTTGTCAAAAATCTATGTCTGTTAATATTTTTTCCTCACAAATGTATAGCTGGTAATATTATTTTTTCAAAAACGTATAGCTGGTAATATTTTTTCAAAAATGCATAACTGGTAATATTATTTTTTCAAAAACGTATAGCTGGTAATATTTCTTTCCCTTCAAAAATTTATTTCTGGTAATAATGTTTTATAAAGTATTTCTGCTATTAAAACCTATTATTACACTATTATAATGCTTTTTACCTCAGTTTCGGGGTTAACTATTTGCTCATAGCTGGGACCCTAACAGGTGCTACCACCCTGGGTCAGGATGGACCTGAGAACACCAGCAATTAAGAGGAGGTTTCATGCTCCTCAAAACCTCCTGATCAGAGGCCTTGCTGTTGGACATAGTTTATCATCTTACCCTGTATGCGGATGTAGTTTATTGTCATACACAGAACAGGGTATTTTATGGTGTGAGTCACATGTTATACATGCAATACAATTTAAAAATCAACAAATATCTCTTTTCTAACTTTTCAGGTTGTGATAAATGAAAAACCGCTGAAACTTTTTGATGCTGCTATCAATGGGGTAAACGTTGGCAACTGTGACCATCCATGTCAGGGTAAACCCTGTATGAACAATGGGGTCTGCGTGCCGGAACATGACGACTATACATGTTACTGTCCACTTGGATTTCAAGGGAACAACTGTCACCAAGGTAAGTAATAGATTGCTGTGATGTGGTTATCATTCCTTTTAGAGAAAATAGGAATCAGCTGACATCTCTTTGGTGGGGAAACCCTTGGTGTTCAAAGGAACATCAATCTTTGATTGAATAAAGTGTTGCTGAGTAACATAGTGTTGAACAGCCAAAAGAATTGAGCATATTTATTATTATAGTGATGTTTATCCCTGGTCTCATTGGGATTTTCATCAAATTACTTTTGTGTATGAAATACAAGTACAGTCATGACTAGTAGGAGTAGATAGATTGGTCAATCATTCAGTTCACACTCTTCCAATCTTTTAAACAGGAGTATAGGTTTATCCTTTGCTTCCTGTTCAAGATTGAGTTTCTGATACCTTCTAAAATTTCTTCTATACCCCTAATGCTTGCCTTTTTCTATACTAATATAACTCCACATATTAACCCTCTAACTTGAGTGGCTCTTGGGCCTTGTATTGGGTGAATATTAGTAAAATTAAAAAATTAAATTGTTATTTTCAATTCTACCCAATGCATGGTGCTTATGCGTTATGTGGTCAACACTGAGAGATAACACTTTGCTGTATAATACTTTTGTTTCATCGTTTTTAAAATTGCATAAAAATCCCAGCAGAGCATTTTTTTTGATCTAGCATGACTATTCTATAAGTGGTGAAATCTCTGCAGGCATCACTATTCCAACCAGCGCTCATATTTGGTTCAAAAGAGTAAGTTGAGAAAATTCTCACCAGCAATACTATTCTGGGGAGCACTTATATTTGGTACAAAATTGTGCAATGCTTCTGTGAGGAACTGATATGTTTGAATGGCATATTAGGAGGGAAAAGACCTTTTTTTCTTGGACAAGGAATCATACCTTATTTGATAATTATCACCTTTATGAATGCTCGGACCATTTGTGGCTTCCCTCTGTCTTTTCTACAAGTATTTTCATGGCAACTACTGTGACAAGTTACTTTTACTGGTTACCAAACTGCATGAATTTAAGCATGCTACTAGATTGGCATTTTAGTCCCAACTTTTCACTATCAAAACGGTTAAATGTAGCTGTCTCTTCTACTCCCAAAGCTTTTTATTTTGCACTTCCTGACAGTGGAACTCCCTTTCTCTTACTTGCTTCCCTGATAGCTATAAGCTTCAAATATTGCATGTATTGTCAGTTGACATCTTCTGATGCCTTGATCTTGATCCCTGTACTTCTCTTTGTCCTTTCCCCAAACACCCATCTTCCTCTCAGTCCTCTGTAACCCCTTGCGTACTAGTGGCACTCCCGCCTTGCTTGGGGTGATATGTTTAAAACAAATATCTTGGGGGAATTTCACAAAAAATTTCAAGTATCTATAATTTTTGAAAATCTTTTTTTTTCCTGTATTTATATTGCAAACATAATAAACATAAGCCTGCCACTAAACAATATTCTGTGAGTAGACTTATCAGTTAATTAAATGTCACAAGGTTAATATTTGTGGCATAGTGGTAATTATTGTTCATATGCCAAATATACGCATGGCACAATATTTTTAAAGTTTTTATTTTCCATTGATATGACAGAATGTTTTTAATTAAACATTTCTAAATGCAAATGCTAACAAAATGTAACTGTTTTTTTTATATATATATTTTGATATATATTAGGTTTTTATTTTATTTTTCATTCTTCACCTGGTCTTTGGAAAATAATAATAATAATGAGATAAAGATGAATATGTGGTGAATACATGTCAGTACAGTAGCAAAAGAGGCCCCATATCATGTATGGGCATGTTTATCAACACTGTTTATATCCGGGTTTTCCCCCCATTAGTAGCAGATCAGCTTGGCATGTCTAGATACGGGCCTCTCTGCAACTGATCAAGGTCCAGGGCTTTGTAAGATGCCTCATGCTAATAAATGCAATGGGAAAACCAGCAGTCAGCAAGATATAGTGTCTTGTGAAGTCAGTCTCATGAGTACTTTGTTTCTAAAGTTTCTGTGGTTTCCAAGGCAGTGCCATTTTTGTTACCTCCCATCTCTTTCCTCTCCCTGCCTATTAGTCCTGTAGTTGGTGGGAAAGCAATCGGTTAGGTGTTTCCCCCAATATCAACACACTCTTTGCTTACATTATCTTCTATTGAACATAAAAGATTTTTAAAATAAGTGCAATCTTTTTTTTCTTTTTTTTTTTTTTTTTTTTTTTTTTTTTTTTTTTTGCAAACTATTTTAGTATCAACTATAAAATAACAACTGGGTTATAAAATTAGAGAAAGAAAAGAGGAGGGAGAAAGAAGATAGCAAATAATGACTTACCATACTAAAAAAGGCAAATAACTCCAAGTAACCTCTCAAGAAATAAATCTGTGGAGTTCTTGCATGGAAGAATTTTATTGGCTGATGGCAGAATGGTCAAAACACCTTAAAAAAACCCTGCCAAAACCACTAAAGAAAGCATGTCTGAAGAATTCATAGCACATGATCACCAAGATGAAAGCTTGTACTTCAACAACGCAAATTGTGTTACTTGGCGGAAAGTGTCTGATGTTGAAAAACCCAAAACTTAATGACGTTAGGAAAACATCAGACAACTCACCATGGAGCATTTGAAAAATGTATATTATCAATTTTACATATATATATATATATATATATATATATATATATGTATTGTATACTTGAGCAGCAGTTTTTCTCTTATGTATGTTTCATTGAAGGTGACGAACAACGAAAATCTTTCAATATCTGTCTATATTACTGTTGTCCTCATCTTTATTGTAACTATATACACTATTTATATTATTCGGACTGTTATCCTCATCTTTATTGCATATACACAGTCTACATTTCAGAGATGAGGTATTGTAACTATTTACACTATTTACATTGTTCAGACTGTTGTCCTCATCTTTATTGCCATACTCACAGTCTATATTTCTGCGATAAGGTATTGTAACTATTTACACTATTTACATTGTTTGGACTGTTGTCCTCATCTTTATTGCCATATTCACAGTCTATATTTCTGCGATAAGGTATTGTAACTATTTACACTATTTACATTGTTTGGACTGTTGTCCTCATCTTTATTGCCATATTCACAGTCTATATTTCTGAGATGAGGTCTTGTAACTATTTACACTATTTACATTGTTCGGACTGTTGTCCTCATCTTTATTGCCATATTCACAGTCTATATTTCTGAGATGAGGTCTTGTAACTATTTACACTATTTACATTGTTCGGACTGTTGTCCTCATCTTTATTGCCATATTCACAGTCTATATTTCTGAGATGAAGTATTGTAACAAGTTACACTATTTATATTTTTCCAACTGTTGTTCTCAGCTTATTGTTATATTCACAACGTTTCAGCTGCTGGACACTCTGGCCTTCTTCAAAAAAGGCATGGCACATGAAATTAAAACAATTTACCCTGGTGGACAAAATAAAGGGCTCAGTTCAAAATTCCAACATGTACCACCTGAAGATAAAAAATATAAAAAAGAATAAAAATAATGGATGCCCTGATAATAAAGAACGAAAAACCAACACTCAGTAACAATTGTAATTTTGACTGTAAATGAGACCTAATATCCAATCCAGTACTGCACTCAAATTCATGAAGTCAAGGTACTAATGAAGAAAGCAATATTTATTTTTAAAAATCACAAAATGTGGCACAAAGCCAAAAATGGGGAATGGGGAAAAGGACAGTCTTCTTCTGTCTTAAATTTAAACTTAGCTAGCCACAAACACTGACTGAAACATACCACAATATTCCTATCACCATAACATCACATTCTTACTTGCCATTCTTCCAACATTCACCATAATGCCTCAGTGTCCCTATGAAAATCCTAACTAATCCCCATATGTACAATTCATTGTCTGTGGAGGAAGAGGAATAAAATAACAGTTTGTACTAACGAAGAAAGCTCATCAGAACAATTGCCATGAAAGTATTTATAGAAAAGGCACAGGGAAGCTGTTATGATGGTGGAAAAGTGACTGAAGCTGAGATTCTTATTTGGGTTTTATAAATAGTCCCTAGCTCCATAGCAGAAGCACTAGACCAGATGTGGCCTCTTAAAAAGATTTTTCAGGAAAATTAACTTCTCAAGTTTACTGTTATCACTTTTTCTAGTACTGATGGAAGTTTCCTTCCTAACCTTTTGTTTAAGGCAGTTTTGATTTGTTTGTTTTGTTTTACAGCATATTAACACCTCAATGGGTTATTTAATGCTAACAAGATTTTTATTGTTGGTAATATTTTTTCCCAAAAAATGTATTGCTGGTAATATTTTTTTTTTCCAAAAATGTATTGCTGGTAATTTTTTTCTTTTTTTAAAAAAAATGTACTGTTGTTAATAATATATTGCAGGAAATAATTTTTCCTTCAAAAATGTACTGCTGGTAAAAATTTTTTCCAAAAAAGTATTGCTAGTATTAAAACCCACCTCTACACATTCATAGTGTTCTAACCCCTTTTTTTTTAGCGGGGGGGGGGACTATTTGCCCATAGCTGGGACCCTGACAGGTGCTACCACCCCAGGTCAGGGAGGATCTGGGAACTCCAGCAATTAAGAGGTGATTCCATGCTTCTCAAAACCTTAGGATCAAAGGCCTTGATGTTGGATGTAGTTTATCATCTTACCCAGGATGAAGATGTAGTTTATTGTCATATATCCAATATTTAAGGCAGTGTGGAATGTCAAGATCTTGATTATATCATTATTTTCCCTTCTAGCTACATATGCTATCCGTTTCAATTGTTGCTGCTGTTGGAAGTCTTCCAGTGATGTGGTTTTTATTGTTTAGTAAAGTTATTTGTGATTTTATAGTGCATGTATACACATACACAAATAGGCTTCTTATCTCCACTAACTGTTATCCCTCTTTCTAGTACTGTTTCCTTCCTAACATACACAAATATATATACAACAGATTATACAATTCAAATCAGTATCTATAAAAGGCAGGATGTGTGTGTCTATCTATCTATAAAAGGCAGGATGTGTGTGTGTGT